TTTAATTATATATTTATATTTAAACCTATGATCCACTTTGAGTTAATTTTTATATAATATGTGACTTTTAGGTCAAATTTCACTTCTTGCCTGTTGTTGGTATTAGATGGTGCTGAGTTGATACCAACTCATAGCAACCTTATGCACAACAGAATGAAACACTGCCCTGCCCTTGTGCTGGCCTCACAATTGTTGCTACACTGAGCCCGTTGGTGCTGCTACTATACCATCCATCTTACTGGGGATCTCCCTCTTTTTTGCTGACCCTCGACTTTACCAAGCATGTCCTTCTCCAGAGACTAGTCAAGAAACGTGGTAGAACACCTCTTTATAGCCTGGCAAGAATGGAAGTAGAGGCTCTCAAATAGACCTTTGCTCTCAGGAGTAGGAGAAGAGCCACAGTGAAGTTTGTCTGGAGTACAGAAGTTATTATCTAAAAGTTTTTGTCTTGTTAAGTTTCCCTTTCCTTGTCGTTCAGCTAGAAAGAACAGGGCTTCCTTCAGGCTTTTTGTTTCTTTGTACCTGTTGGAGTTCCCAACTTACTATTTCTCTAGCCCCCAGTCTAAGACATATGAGACTGAAAGAAAGCCAGGAGGACTCACAACCATGTTGCTCCTCGGGTCCTGGGTAACTATTCAGTCTACCTTCTTCTGTCCAACTTTTAGGATCTCCTGTTGCATAGAAAATGCCCAGGACTTTCTCATTGTATTTAGCAGGAGGAATAGAAAAAAGTACTTCTACTTCATGTTCCCAAGGAGCTCTGGTAGCTTAGTGGTTACGAATCGGGCTGCTAACCTCAAGGTCAGCTGTTCAAAACGACCAGCGGTTCCATGGAGAAAGATGAGGCATTCTGCTCCCATAAAGATTTACAGCCTCGGAAACCCTGTGCAGGGTCACTATGAGTCGGAACCCACTCCATGGTACTTAACAACAACAACTTCATGTTTCCAGAAGTGGAAATGTGGGTTTTAATAAAATTGAGCATGAACTCGTGACTCATGGTGTGGCGCTGTAGGATCAGTACTGGACTGTGAACCACAAGGTCAGCAGTTCAAACCCACCAGCTACTCCTTGGAAACCCTCTACAGGGTCACTATAAGTCAGAATTGACTTGACGGCACTTAACAACAAACAACTCCTCAGTAGCTATTATGGTTTTGAGGTATTGATTCAAATGTAAACCATACAATCAAGAGTGTATATGATGCCAAGAAGAGTGACGATTAAAGAAAGATAGTAACTCTCAAGAGCGGAAACTATGCTCAAGAAAATTATACCATTCAAGAGAAATTTTATGTTTTGTATAAAATATGCTCCTAGATCTAAGAAGAGAAAGCCAAGTCCTTGCAGACATAGCTCATCAATGCAAGGAATTGGTAATTTCTTTCTTGTTGTCAAGTGCCATTGAGTCAGTTCCGACTCATAACAAACCTGCATCAGGTGTCTGAGGAGACTCTGGTGAGTTTGAACCACCGACTGTGAGCTTCAAACCGCCCTTGTAGTCCAGTGTTTATCCTACAGTGTCACACCTGGACTTTCTTAAAAGGGAAAAAATCTATATTTTATTTGATAAAAAGTAGCTATAACTCTGCCCTCCCACTGAATTCTCTAGAAGTCCTCTAGAAAATCCTTTACTAGTGTTTCTACTTAGTTAACCCATCCACCGGAGGCCTGGTGTGGTGCTATAGGTTAATGCTCCAGACTGCAAAGCCATTTGAACTATATGGTCTGCTGTTCAAGCTCACCAGCTGCTCCTTAGAAACTCTATACAGGGTCGCTATGGGTCAGAATTGACTTGATGGCACTTAACAACAAAATCAACAACCCATCCACTGATGGTCCTTGCCTTTTTGGGGTTCTGTTCTAAAGTGAGCGTCTGTTTCAGGTCGCCTGAACTGGTGGTCTGCGGTGTGCACAAGCTGTAAACGGCTGCTTCCTTTGGCCACAACAGGGGATGGAAACTGCCTGTTGCATGCCGCCTCACTGGGTAAGCACAGACAGAAGGTGGCAGGTCCCAGGTCTGTTTGATGTGTTGTTAAAAGGACATATGCTAAATGGAACCATGCATGTCACTGTCTTAAAAAGTCCCCTGAAGATGAAGCTAACAGTCTTGGCCCTTTTGGCCAAGTAGCTCCAAGGTTTGGAGAAGAGACAACTTACATGCTAGAAGGACGCCTGAGCATAAGATCTAGACGGCGGGAATTAGAGACTGTGACCAAGAGCAACCAAAAATAACTTCATGGAGAGGGATGGGATGTTTATTGACAATTGAAAAACTTTTAAAAGTGTGGAGTGAAAAGGCCACGCCAAGCTGAGAAAACACAGGTGTAACGCATAAAGGCAGGACTCAGCAGACTGTTCAGAGATGATTGTGCTTCATCAGGCTCCAGCCAAAAGCTTGGGAACCTGTACGTGAGGTTGGGAGGTGTAGAGCAGCCATGCTGACAGCAGTCAATGGTCAACCTAGATTGGAAGACAGACATTGATACCACTCAGGTAAATCACTGGGAATCCAGAGGCAGAATAGAAACAGACCTACCACCTTCTCCAGCAGTGTTGTGAGCTTCCTGGTTGCACAAAATCTCACAGGAGGTGCACAGATGTGGGTGATGATATTTTAACAACCGAGGGTCACATTAGAGTTTCCAGAAGCCTGCTTATTCCTTCTAGGCCCACACTTAAGTACACAGACCAAGTTGGTGTTGACAGGTAAGTCTGCTCGTGTGTTCAGGATCGTGGAATCAAAGCCAGGTGTCCCTTGCCAACCCTGGGGAGTACAGTGAGAGTCAGAATACTCATATACAGGAAATAACCCTTGTTAATCAAACACACGTGGCCAGGCTATTTTTGCCTGAACTCTGTGCTACAGTTCAGAGCAAGAGCCAACATTTAGACCTGCAGCAAAGTTCAGCAAGAGGAAGGTTGAGAAGAGACCATAAGGGTTTGGTTGGTTAGTTGTTGTTAAGTGCCTTTGATTTGGTTCAGACTCATAGCGATCCTGTATAGGGTTTCTGAGACTCTAAATGCTTACGTAAGCTGAAAGTGTCATCTTTCTTCCATGCAGTGGCTGGTGGGCTTGCACTGTCAACCTTGTGGTTCACAGTCTAGTGCTTACCCTATGAAGCCACCGTGCTCACATAAAAGGTTTAGAGAGAAACGAGTCACACCTGAGAAGACCCAGAGAAGAAAGGGGACCAAGAGCATGTGTAACATTTCTCAGATGATAAGTGGCACCTACTTACTTGTCTCCTTTTTCATTTTAAACTAACATATTTATATCTGTTAGAATTATGGAAGTATTTTACACTCATCGTAGTGAGAAAAAATAAAGATCGGGAATCCTTCCACCCAGCAATGACCCTTTCTACCATCTTGGTATAGTATCCCCAAGTCTTCTGTCTACAATTCAGATGGAGTCAAGATCTTCTGATGCTCACAGTGTGAAGCCAGCATTTTCCCCTTAAAATCGTACTGAGAGTTTTCTATTCTACTATTTTTCAGAAACATGTTTAATGGTAGTGTAGTATTTTGTCATAACTATTCCCCCATTGTTGAACAGATTTCCCTTGTTCCATATAAAAATTGAAGAAAGAAGAGGCAAGAAGCAGTGTCTCATCTCTGCCAGACAGCAGCCTGGTTACAGAGTCTCAGGCGTGAATGTTCCTTTGTCCTCTGAAACTGCAGTGTGATGCTCACTCTCCCATAATCCCCCTGGGTGCCTTCCTATAGCAGGCACTTTCCATAGGCCCCCAGCTTACAGGGGAAGCAGAGTCTTGTGGCAGCTTTGGCTCTTGCAGTAGGCGAGGCTGGACCATTACCACTCCTTTCTTTTATCTTTTTGTCATTTGAGTTGTTTTTGTCCTCAAAGAGCTGAATGCATAGTGCCAGAGCAGTCAGTCATGAGATGTGCCCAGAAGTGCTTTGTATTAGCCCAGGTTCTCTAAAGAAGTAAAACAAATGAAATATTGTGGTGCTGTAGGTTAATGTGCTGGACTGTAAAGTCATTTGAACCACAAGGTTGGCAGTTCAAGCTTACCAGCCACTCCTTGAAAACCCTATACAGGATCACTATAGGTCAGTACCGACTCAATGACACTTAACAACAATATGTATATAAAGACAAGTTTATTATCAAGGAAATGGCTCACAACTGCAGATCCCCAGGTTCCCAATAGAAGAGAGAGAAACTTTCCTGCAAGTCCATTATATTGGGAGCAGGCCACACCCCCAAGGAAGCATCCCTTCAACTGATTGGCTGCTCATAGCCACTCATCATAGAGTTAACTATGCCTGTATTAGGTTTCATCACCATGGGAATAAGCACATCTCAACTGCTAAACCTCTGGAAATCCTGGCCTAGTCAAGCTGACACAAAACCTTAACTATTACATGCTTGTTGGTCAATCATCTGCTGACAGTGACCAGCATAGAGCTAGGGCTCTGGGACTCCCATAGGAGTGGCAGTGATCTGCCTTGTGAGCAGGCTCTCTGGGGCAGGGAAACTCTGTAAGAGGCCTGAACACAGAGCCTTGGTGCAAAGACTGGACTGGGTGCCTTCTGCCCAGGGGAGCATTCAGGTCAGCAAGGTTAAGAGTGAGTCAAGTTCACCATGTCCACTCCATGAAAGGAGGTATGGCATCCATAGATCCGTATCCCTCAGTCTACATTGGCACAGGACTGGGCAACATTTTGTCCTGCTGTGCATGGAGTCACCATGAGTTGGTGCTAACTTGAGAGCAACACCACCACCACCAGCCTATATAAAAGACAAAAGCCTCACTTACTAGGAGGGAAGCCCATCGTAGTCCTAGGTTATGGGATTTGCAGCAGTCCTTGGATTTGGGCATATTTCTTGCAATAATAGAATGCACAGCCAAGCTGGTCCTTTCTGTTTTTGTTACTCCTCTTCTGAAAACTGCAAGTGCACCCAGCTCCCTGAGAGTAGACCCCAGCCCTTATTGTAGCCCATATTGTAGCCCGTAAGACCCTCTAGCTCTCAGCTTAGCTCTTTGACCCTGCTCCAGATCCCTTCCCCTCCTGCCTTCCTCAAATTCACCTCTTGGGTGACCCTTAGGGCTCTCTGCCTGGCAAACTCCCCTAGATGGTGGCAGGCTTACTCTTTAACCCATCGGGTCTCCGCTTCCAAAGCCACCCTCACCCTCTGCCCCCTCATCCGCTTTGTCACTATCCACAGACATAATTCATTACTGCTACTGTCATGGCGTATCACCTCCCCACAGTGCATACTGCTTGAGGGTTTAGAACTCGGTCTTCCAGGGTGGCTGCCGTGTGTGTTCCAATACCTAGAACTCCTAAAACAAACCCCCACACTCCAGTAGTGAAGTAACTGTGAAATCAAGTGAGTGTTTATAGTTCAGTCCATTCTGACTCAGCGACCCTATAGGATAGAACCCAAGAGTCCCATAGGATTTCTTAGACCATAATCTTTATGAGAGCACATCACCAGGTCTCCCACAGAGCCACTGGGTGTGGTCCTTGGCTTTCAGTAAGCCATTGAGTGCTTCACTGTTGGCCCACCAGGACTCCATAATTTAATAGCATTAGATTGAGCAAACAAATGATTCAATGAGCAAATCTCCCCCACCCCAGGTTCTTCCCTTTGTAGCCTGGGCTGCACCTGTCCTCAGCATTTCCCCCACTGTTAGATTTCTTGGCTCCATCTGATCTGCACTATAATTGGCTAGTTCACCTTTATGAGCCTAATGCCCCACTATAGCCTAGTGGGCCAAGAGAGGAAGGCCCACTCCCAAAAGCCAAACCTCCCTTCTGGACCCAGACCTGTATGGGTGCCGATTGGAAGCCCTGCTTTCCAGAAACTGAAGCTGTCTTAGTGTGACAGCCCACAGTATAAACTGGCTTGGAGCCCTGTTTGAGGACAAGTTACTAGCTTGTCCTCATATGCTATCTCACTCAGACTTAGGACTGTCACACTCAAACTGACAGTGTATTGTCAAGGGTCCCAGTGTGTTAGCAAGGCTGCCCTCAGTTACCACCCATGATCCGAGGGGTGGTGCTGCAGGAGAAGGCTCTGGACCCCAAGTTCGGTTTGAACCACAAGGTCAGCAGTTCAAACTCACCAGGCGCTCCTCTGGAAACCCTGTACAGGGTCACTATGAGTTGGAACCGACTCACTGTCCCTTAACAACAACAACATTGTTACTCATTAAGCAGAGCAAGTGTTTCTCATCACCTGCTTGTGTTTAGAGGCACGGGGAACAGAGCCCGTGACGAGAAACGTGCATTCAGTGAGCATGTTGTCGTGGTGGACGTGGGCATCGGGGCTGAGTGGCCCTTCACTTGCTCTCCTCATGTTCTTTTTGTATCTTTTGTTGCTACGGGCTTCTGGCCACAGGGATGTGGGGGTTTCATGACCGGGACCTGGTCTTGCGGAAGGCCCTGTACACCATGATGAGGACGGGGGCGGAGAGGGAAGCTCTGAAGAGAAGATGGCGTTGGCAGCAGACTCAGCAGAACAAAGAGGTGGGTCCCTGCGGTGTACCCCAAGATGAGATCCTGCACAGTAGAGGAGTCCAGAGCACGGCGCCCACATCCAAGTGATCTTGTTCAGTCAGGAAGGAACAGCTTCCGTCCTCCACTTACTCCTCGGAGTCAGACATGTGCTGCCACAGTGTGATCACATGTCCACCCTCAGCTCTGTCCCACTTAAGTATTCACTGCCTGCCTTCAGGGGGCCAGGCACTGCCCACCCACCATCCTCAGCCCTGATGAGAGAGCCTTGTGTGCACAATCCCCAGAATCCTAACTGTGTTCCCCCACAATGCATTGCAGCCAGGACCGCACAAATACAGAAAGGTCTCACAGCCCTTCCAGGTACCACTTCTACTCTCAGGAGCCTGAGGTCTCCTTGCAGATTAGCTATTACATTGCTCAGACAATGGGCAATTGGTCTCGGTTCTGGGTTTGCCCAACGTGTATGAAGCTAAAAAAAGTACTCAGACTCTGTCCTGAAGTGAAACGACTTGACCTGGAGAATGGCTTAGGCTCTCTGGACTCCAAGTGTCTCTCCTGTGCATGTAAACATTAGTTCCAAATCAGGAGAATCAAGATGGTGTAACCTCAAAACCAAACCAAACCCACGGCCATCAAGTCGATTTTTACTCGTAGATGTTTGTGTTTCTGACTGACCGTTCATGCCAGACATATCTCACTCTAACTTTAGAGGGCACTAACATCAATATGTTTTAACTTTGCTTTCCTAAGGGAGGAAACTGTTCACTGTCTGCTTGAAGCTGACCCATCATCCTGACATTTGGCCATTCCTGCCCCTGGGAAGAACCCTGGCTGCTGAACAGACTCCCAACAGCTCTGAGATTAGAGATGGGGTTTTTCTGAAAAATATTGTCAGTAGCAAAAAGGGCCGAGTGATGAGTTACAGGGCTGCCAGCCGGGGTCCCACACAGAAGGTCAGGTGGACTTCCCAGGCTCACCTCAACCACCACCCACTCATCAGGTGGGCAGGTGGCAAATAAGGGTGCTGCCCTGAGCGTCCCCACCCTCCTGAAGTGGGCCTCCTTTGTGCGCAGTCCGGGCTGCTGTACACGGAGGAAGAGTGGGAACGCGAGTGGACAGAGCTGCTGAAGTTGGCGTCCAGCAAGCCGCGCACGCACTGCGGCAGGAATGGTGGTTCAGGCGGAGGGTAAGTGTGCCTGGTCCAGGAGTTTAGGGATCACTGGAGCCCTGCAAGATGTTAGAAGTCAGCGTACCTCAGCACATGCATGTGTCTGGCATGGAGCATGCCATGCGGGCTGGTGGTGTCTGCAAGAGGACACAGATGAGTGAGCAGCACAGAAGCCATTGGTATGTGGCACCAAGATGCATGTTTACGCTCACACACTGCCACTACATTACCCAGATTCCACGGACCCAGACTGCCCATTTGGTGGTCTCCCCAGCTCAGTATCTACTTAACTTGTGGCTTCACCCTGAAAGCAAACGATCCCTAAACCAGCCCAGCATTTCCCACATGAACTCCGTGAATATGAACACAAGCTGTGTACCTTCAAGAGGCCTGTTCCCACATACATAAATCAGGGAGAGGAGCACCAATACCATGGAGTGGCCACACACCCATACTTTTTGAATCTGAGGGTAAAGTTTCCTAGAGCTGCTATAACAGAACTACCATAAGGGGGTGGCTTTAGCGAACAGGAATTTATTTTCTCACAGATTAGAGGCTAGAAGTGTTAAGTCAGGGCATGGGCTCTGGGGAAGTCTTGCTCTCTCTGTCCACTCATGGGGAAGGTCCTTGTCTTCTATCAGCTTCTGTGCCTCTGGTTCCTTGGTGAACGCATGTGACCAGCCATCTATCGTCCCTCATCCGTACTTACTTGTGGGCCTGATCTGTTCAGTTCACAGCTCAAAAATGATTGACTTTAGATATACCCTATACTGATAGAGCCTTATTAACATGACAAAACCAATTGTATTCCCAAATGGAATAATATCCATAGGTATGTTGGTGGTGGTATTAAGTACCATCGAGTCAGTACCGACCCACAACGACCCTGTATAGGGTTTCCAAGGAGCGGCTAGTGAGCTTGAACCCCCAACCTTGCAGTTCAAACCAACTTTGCAGTCTGACACATTAGCCCACAGTGCTACACCAGGACTCCATCCACAGGTATAGGGGTTAGTATTCCAGAATATATTTGGGGAGCACACAATTAATTCCACAACACTCTTAGAAAAAGTCTCCCAAGAAAGTGTGACCACTGATACAGAAGAGAATCCCAAGGAGGTCTCACTAGTTTTATGCACTCAGGTGTGTGTGGCTATTATCAGACCCTCTGGGTCCTCACTTATTGAAACAACACCAGGGGCTTCCTCTGCTGGCTACTCACTGACATCCCTACTGCAAAAAGGCACCAAAGAGGACCCGACATAAATGCCCTCTACATTCCTAGTCTGGTCTAGTGACTGTCTTAGTCATGTCCCTTGTCGGCCAAAAAGTATAGCTGGTTTAGGACATTTAGGGATAAATATTCCAAATATGGAGGAGCTCTGGTGTCACAGTGATCAAAGCACTTGAATGCTAACTTAAAGGTCAGCAGTTTGAACGCACCAGCCTCTTCCTGGGAGAAAGATGTGGCCATCTGCTTCCACAAAGATTACAGCTTTTGGAAACCCTATGGATCAGATCTACTTTGTTCTATATGGTCACTGTGAGCCCAAGTCAACTTTGTCAGCAGTGGGTTTGGTTTGGATAGTTTTTATTTTAAAGAGTCCACAGATTGCCTAATGTAAACTAGAGAAGGCACAAACAAACAAACAAAAAACAAGGGGGTAGATTTTAAAAAGGAGCAAAGAATCAGAGTAACAAATAGAAAACAGTTACAAATGTGGTGGTGGTGGTTATATGCCGTGGAGTCAGTTCCAACTCATAGCAACCCTGCATAGGGTTTCTGAGTCTGTAAACCTTTACAGGAGCAGAAAGCCTCATCTTTCTCCCATGGAACCGCTGGTAGTTTCAAACTGCTGACCTTGAGGTTAGTAGCCTGAATCATAATCACTACACTACTGGAGCTCCTTAGTTACAAGTATAGTGGGCATTAATCCAACTACAGACATGCCTTCAGTTACAGATCACAATAATAAAGCAAATATTGCAATAAAGTGTGTCACATGATTTGGGGGTGGTTTCCTAGTGTATATAAAGGAGTCCTGGTGTGGCATTGTCGGTTAATACGCTGGACTGCAAGGTCACTTTGTACCACAAGGTTGGCAGTTCAAGCTCACCAGCAACTCAGAAACCCTATACAGGGTCACTCAGAGTCAGTACTGACTCGCCAGAACTTCACAAGTGTATATCAAAGTTACGTTGACACTATACTATAGTCTGTTAAGTGTGCAATAGTGTTACGACAAGGAGTGCTGGTGTGGCAATGTAGGATAAGCACTGGACGGTGATCCACAAGTGTGGAGGTTCAAGCCCAACTGCTCCAGAGGAGAAGGATGAGACTTTCTGCACCCCTAAAAAAAAGGAGCTCTGATAGCGTAGTGGTTACAAATCTGGTTGCGAACCACAAGGTCAGCAGTTCAAAACTACCAGCTGTTCTGCAGGAGAAAGATGAGGGTTTCTGCTCCCATAAAGATTTACAGCCTCAGAAACCCTGTACAGGGTTGCTATGAGTTGGAACCAACTCCACGGCACATAACCAGCCAACCAAAAATGTACAACCTTGGAAACTCTATACGGGGTCACTATGTGTTGGAACTGGATGGATGGCACTTAACAACAATAACCATTATGAAAATATTTTTAAATATGAAAATTGCTAAGACTTCTTATGCCCCCGGCTCTAACTGGTGGGCCAGGTGCCAATTTGGATCTCCTGGAATGAATGTCAGTTCATAGCTAGTGTCCAGAAATGACCCCCAAACCTGATTATTTCCTTTTCCTCAAGGAGCAGTCACTCTCATGATCCCTTTGGGGAAAGCTGGGAGAAAGATGAAAGTATACATTTTTGACAGTATAGTGGGACCTTTCCTCATGGAGGTCCAGTCTCTCTTCATTCAAGGGGTTGTGAGTTTGTAACCTGGCTCAAGTCTGTGAATGAATTGTGAACTTTATTTTGGTGATTCATGTACTGATTCAAATACTCACTTGTACTTATTAAGTTAATATTGAGTAGATTTCCCCTCGATTTCATTCCATGGGACACGTGAGTAAGTAGCCAATGACATAAATGCATGTGAGTCAAATGATTTTGACTTCTGCTTTAACTCTGTTGTCCATTATGGTAGCCTCGTCCACCTTGTCTTTGGTGACTGAGTTCTGCCACCTGCCCCATTGGGGTCCATCAGTCCCATTGTAATTAGGTCTTGTTATTCAGTTAGGGTAGTTCCCATTGTCAAATCTGAAATAAAACAGCCATCAGAGCAGTCTTCACTGACTTCATGGACTGATTCCCTTCACAAATGGATTCTTTACTGTTGTGGTGTCAGGTATGTCCTCTGAACACTCCGTGGATGGGTCTGTGAGTCCAGCCTGATCAATCCACTCCATCTTTCCTCGTGCCCTAAATCTTTGGGCACTTTTTCTGTAAGATACCAAGGAAGTTCTGGCATTTCTAGTTGACTTTACTGTAGACCACTAGTTAAACCATGCTTCCGTAAACCAACCAAATCAATGAGTCAATCCTTTCCTAGCGTCTAGAGCTGAAACATTGAATGAAGAATCTGTGCTCTGTGGATCAATAAACTCAGACTGCTCTGTTTTATGTACCTTGCCCCATTATCCCTCACTATTAATAGTCATTTCCATACAGATTCTTTAAGTTTGTTTGTAGATATTATAAAAATCAAATAGTTTTTTTGGTGCTTAGCGTGCCTCCTCGCTTTGTACTTCACCTCTTGGGATTCACTAAGACTTATGTCTAGTTATAGGTCTAGAAGCAAAAATGGGTAGTGGTATTGGTGCTAGGGACTTTCAGCAGTGTCTTGTAAGGCATCTGCTCCAGGCAACGCCCCAGGAGGTGATATATCAAAGACTCTTCAGACACAGTTGGGTTATCTCATCAGATGAGGGTGGAAAAGGTAATGATTATACCGGGGAGGATTGTTGAACAGACAAAGCTGAAGTAAACCCTTCAGATGAGAGTTATTCAGTGGAATTTGAAGGCTCAATGTCCCCAGCTTCCTGATGATCTCCCCCATATATCCCCATTCCAAGTTTTAGGACCCCATTTTTTCCTAATGAATGTCCTTACTTTAACATCAGACACTATTTAAGGATGAGAATTCAATTAACATTATAATTCAGCCATTCTTGAGCTAAGACTCTGTGTTTGATATTTGGTAGCATCCACTCTGTTACTGCTAAAAATATCAATACCTTTCAGGACACACATGAAAACTTACGCAGCACTTGAGCTGTGTCTCTGAAGCCTGATGCCCATCCCTTTCTTACACCATTTTGTCTAGTAAAAGTAGGACCAACCAGCCAGCTTTCCTATACTGCTCAGTCTGTCAGAATTGTAGAAAAGCATCAAATGTGCCATCACCCTTGTGTCTCACAAATATTTGATCCAATGATGGTGAGATTATCCTTATTTCTATTGCCACCTCAAACGATGGATTAGCAGTGTCCTCTTCACTACTAGAGACAGAGTTATCAGTGCCTTTAACACAAGCAATACGCAAGAACCAATTTAGAAAATTCCCCCTTAATACCTTGTTTCTCTGTAACTACTCTTCTTGTGAGGATGGTGCAGGACCAGACATTGTTTTGTTCTGTTGTACATAGAGTCACTGTGAAGCGGAACTGACTCAACAACACATAACAACATAACTACTCTTGGTACCAAATGTCTTAGATGGGGTTCTCTAGAGGAACAAAACCAGTGAAGCATATTTATAAACATACAGACAAATTATCAGGAAAGACCAGTCCTTGGAGAAAGGGCATCATGCTTGGCAAAGTGGAAGAACCCAACGAGATGGATTGACACAGTAGCAGAAAATAATTGGCTCAAACATAACAATAATTGTGAGGATGGCACAGGACTAGGCAGAGTTTCATTCTGGTGTGCACTGGATTGCTATGAGTTGGAACTGACTTGATGGTACCTAAAAAGAACAAGGGTGAGATGTTCATTTCAAGGAAATGGCTCATGCGGTTGTAGAGGCTGACAAGTC